CTCCTGCGTGCTGGAAAACTTTTCTTTCTGTACTTCCTCTGGATAGAACTGCAGAGGCTGGAAAGAGAACAGCTATGGATACACCGTAGGCTTTATATAAGCCAGGCATGCGGCATTCATGGAAGTAGGGAGGTCAGCAGTGGCAATCCCAAAAGGATGACTTCTTTCATGATTTATGACCATGATCTCATTCATGGTCTGTCCATCCACCAATCATCGCTCTCTCTTCATCCTTTTCTTTGTGTCTATCTCCCTTCCCTTGCATGCTCTCTCTTTCTTGCCCGTGCACCCCTCAGTTTCTTGCCCGTGCACCCCTCAGTTTCTTGCCTGTGCAGCCTCTCAGTTTCTTGCCTGTGCAGCCTCTCAGTTTCTTGCCTGTGCAGCCTCTCAGTTTCTTGCACGTGCACCCTCTCAGTTTCTTGCACGTGCACCCTCTCATTTTCTTGCACGTGCACCCTCTCATTTTCTTGCACGTGCACCCTCTCAGTTTCTTGCACGTGCACCCTCTCAGTTTCTTGCACGTGCACCCTCTCAGTTTCTTGCACGTGCACCCCTCATTTTCTTGCACGTGCACCCTCTCATTTTCTTGCACGTGCACCCCTCATTTTCTTGCACGTGCACCCTCTCATTTTCTTGCACGTGCACCCTCTCAGTTTCTTGCACGTGCACCCCTACTTTTCTTGCACGTGCACCCTCTCATTTTCTTGCACGTGCACCCTCTCATTTTCTGGAACCTGCGCTCTCTTGCTTTTTTACATGTGCACGCTCACTTTATGTCTCATTCATTGAGGGACACAGGAAGTAATATTGTGTTGGGTTATACTGCCGCCTACAGGAGGATTTGAAAACTGGCACACAAAAAAATCTTTAGGCCAGCCCAGGATAATCCTCCCCTACCCAGCATGCCTCAGTTTTATTGCTGCTTGAGCTGGTCTCCATATGGCCGCCATGTGGGTTGGCCTTTTCTCAGCCTTGCAATTGGGAGTGCCGTAGGTGGACTCCACTCTGGACTTGACCTTCCATCACGGGGTTCCACGCCAGGTTCTTTCCAGTTCCTGTTCTGGTAACAAGATGGCCGTGGAGGACCTTCCAGGTTCAGAGCCATTGGCATTGCCACAGCTCCCTGTCTCTGATGACTCCCTCTGTGAGTATGGCGACCGGGCCGAGCATCGGCAGCTACCTCGTTATTTTGCACCGATGGGCACCTTTTACATTTCCTGCTCCCATCAGTTTTGTCACAGAAGGGTTAACTCTGAGGGATTGATTGCTGACGTCATCTGCTGGACGGAGTATCTGCATGTTCCACGTTCTCTTGTCTGACATTCGTTGTCAGGAACGTCCCACGGCTGCTCCTGCTTTGCAACAGAGACGTCTGAAATCTGCTCCTCTGTTGCAAAGCAATCAAGTAACCTTGTAAGTGACCTTGGTCACCTTCGGGCTTCAGGCCCTCATCGCCCACCAGCGGCCCGGGTTTGTGAGTACCTGAGGTCTTGCCTCGTACCCTGAACTTGGCGGCATTACTGCCATGTGGTTGCAACACGTCTGTATCTAGACAGCAAGGGAGGGGATGGTCCCACTGCAATGGGTGATCCGAGCTTGTGTTAGGAGACAGGACATGTATTCTGGACATTGTGAGGACACAGACCACTGCAATATGGTTACAGGGACCGCCTCACCGTAGTCCCCCTTACCTCCATTGGGTGAGGAAAAGTCCCCTTCCTCCTCATTAGGGGCCTCTACAGCAGTCAAACGAGTTTGTTTGCAAGATTCCCCCAGTTCCTTGTGGTTGCTGACAGACTCTAAGCAGGCTTCTGTGCCCTCCCCTGCAGAGCTGATCTCCGATGTCCCTGCGGCCCTAGAAGTGGTTGGGCCACCAGTCACGTTGACCTTTCTTCTACCCAGGACTCCGAGTCACCACATTCTTTCTGTGATGGATGAGGAACTGGAGCTTACCGCCATTACCTCAGATGTACAAGAGACTTTCAGCCCTTATTAATAGATGATAGGGATGCACCGATACCTGGTTTTTCGGTATCGAGTATGAGTACCGATATTTTGCTTTCGGTACTCACCGATAGCGGTGCTTGAACCAGGGGGGCGAGTAACGACATGCCGCCCAGCTTCCTAATTGCCCAGAAAGCCGGCTCCGTGTTTTGGCCGGCTCGATTGTGATTGGCTCGGGAAACCCGGTTTCCCAGCCAATCAGCAGCTACCTCCAAACTTCCTGATTGGCCGGGAAGCCAGCTCCATGGGGATTGGCTGGAAATCCGGCTTCCCAGCCAACCAGCATCGAGCTGGCTGCTGATTAGCCAGCCGAACAGCCAATCTGCAAGGAGCCAGCTGTTCCTTTGGCTCAATGCTGATTGGCCGGGAAGCTGGCTTCCCAGACAATCAGCATGGAGCCGGTTTCCTGGCCAATCAGGGAGGTGGGTCATTACTCGCCGCCCGGCCTCCTGATTGCTCGGGAAGCTGGCTCCATGTTCCCCTACACGAGTAACGACATGCCGCCCAGCTTCCTAATTGCCCAGAAAGCCGGCTCCGTGTTTTGGCCGGCTCGATTGTGATTGGCTCGGGAAACCCGGTTTCCCAGCCAATCAGCAGCTACCTCCAAACTTCCTGATTGGCCGGGAAGCCAGCTCCATGGGGATTGGCTGGAAATCCGGCTTCCCAGCCAACCAGCATCGAGCTGGCTGCTGATTAGCCAGCCGAACAGCCAATCTGCAAGGAGCCAGCTGTTCCTTTGGCTCAATGCTGATTGGCCGGGAAGCTGGCTTCCCAGACAATCAGCATGGAGCCGGTTTCCTGGCCAATCAGGGAGGTGGGTCATTACTCGCCGCCCGGCCTCCTGATTGCTCGGGAAGCTGGCTCCATGTTCCCCTACGGCACTGCCGGTCAGAGGAAATCTTTCTCTGACCGGAAGTTTCGGTATCGGGGGAAGGTATTGGAGCATTTGGTTGACTAAGAGTACTCGCCCAAATACTCGGTATGGGCACGGTTACTAGTATCTGTGCATCCCTAACGGGTAACCTACTACTCTGCATCTGAGGATCGGCCTGCTGTCTGCTATATGAGGTTTTACTTCATGCAGGCTGGAAGCACCGTGAAGGGCCCCGGGCCCCAGCTAAGAATGCTGGCACTGTTTTGCTGTAAGCGGCAATTTGTTACATGGTGGTCTATACTGACTGTAGATCGGCCAGTGACTCGCCTTTGCAGGAAACCACTAGGCCAGTAAAGGGTGTGCTCACCTTTAAGGATTCTACTGACCAGCAGTTGGGATCCCTGCTTGACACCCGGTGTTCTCTGGTAGGCCCCACCCTTGGCTCCATCATGGCTGTGACCTTAATCTGTCAAACTGTGGAGAAACGGGTTAAATCTCTCAAGAGGCCCCTCCACCGCCGCAGTAGACCTTCCTGCTAGAGTGTGTGGAGCAGATGTCGGGGGCCCTATGCTTCAGCTGTGATGGCTTGTCAGAAGCATCAAAACTTGTGTCCCCCATGGGGCTGTTGTGTGTGCAGATGCAGAGAGCGCTCTGGTGAAGGTGCTGGGAGGCAGATGCGATATCCAAGGAGCACCTGACTGGCTTGGTCTTCGAGGGACGCCGTCCGCCTCAGCGCAAGGAGTCCAAGGTCGCCAGTCCCATCCTTGTCCTTCATCTACTTCAAGAGTAGACGCATCCAGACTAGGGATGCACCGATACCGGTTTTTCAGTGCACGAGTACCGATATTTTGCTTTCAGTACTCGCCGATACCGAGTACCGATACCGGTGCTTCATGGTGTGGCATGGAGCTGGGCAATCAGGAAGCCGGGCGGTGGGTAATAACATGCCACCTGGCTTCCTGATTGCCCGGGAAGCCGACTCCATGTTGTTTGACCGGCTCGATTGTGATTGGCTGGCTTCCCAGCCAATCAGGAAGCCGGGAGGCAGGTCATTGCTTGCCACCCAGCTTCCTGATTGCACGGGAAGCCGGCTCCATGTTCCCCTATGGCACTGCCGGTCAGAGGAAATCTTCACGTTGAGTACAAAAAGCCTATCTTCCTTCACTGTGTGGTGATGATCATGTTCTTGGTACTGCGCTTGCTACACAATAAGGCTTGTTGGGTAGAGGACGGTCATCATGGGCTGGCCTACATATTTGTTGTCCCGTCTTCCTGTAGGAAGCTGTATAACCCAACGGTATAGGACTTCCTGTGTCCCTCAATGGACTCCAAGGACAGAAGTTCACGGTGAGTACCAAAGTCCTATCTTCTTCCACGTGTGCTGCATCGTTCCGCCAGCTATACTTGGAAACAGATTGTGCCAGGACCCCGGCCATGAAGAATTGGAGCCTCCCACAGCAATCCGTATCGCATACCCCAACTGCTTAGTCACTGGAGCTCCGTCGTCTCTCTCTCTCTCCGCCGTGACCAGGGGGCCTCCCAGGAAAAGTTCCAAGATGGTCGCCTGCCCAGTCAGGCCTGCGGTTTCCATAGCAACCGTGCATACAGGATGCAACAGAGCTGAGTTATTGCACTCGGGAGGACGCAGGGAGGTCCGGGGGAGTTGGAGGATGAAGCGGGACGGCTGGCATTCGCGGCGCGCACATTGTCGCGCCTGTAGAGAAATGTGCGAAGCGGTAGCTGCCTAATTGGATATGCATAATTAATACTTGAGTGACGGATGATTAATTGCATTCTTCCACGCTCTCTCTTCGTGAAGCCGCTATTTTTATAAGTCCCGTTTGCTGGGGTTTCCGGGGACAAAATAAAAGGCGCGGAGCCATCAGATCGGAATGGTTCCCGTTAGAACTGACCCCCCGGGGAGGCAGCGTGGCGGCTGAGCCGCTGCAATGCTTACCCCGGGCCAACGCTGGAAGTATAATTCCTCGTGTGCCTGAACGCGGGGCTGCAGAATTGCAGCCCGGGTGTTCCCTGGTTCTGGGCTCCGCCCCCTGTGGCTGTCCTAGAGGGAAGGGAGTACAAACGCAAGGTCACATGATGAACGGCTGCAGTCCAGCCCAGAATTCCCAGGCTAGCCGGCCGCCATTGATCGCGTACCATGCAGATTAAGCTGGTAATGAACGTCTCGGGGGTTGGGGGGGGGGATTTAGACGTCTACCATGAGCTGAACGATAGATGAACAGTAAAGTACAATCACCGCACAGCACTAACTTCTAAGCATGACTTATGCCCGTTTGTGTTTGTGACAGGCCCATACACGACGCAGTGGTCAACGACAACCTAGAAACGGTGTGGCTGCTTCTCTCCTACGGTGCCGATCCCACGCTGGCCACCTACTCCGGACAGACGCCCATGAGGCTGGCCAGCAGCGATGTCATGAGGACCTTCCTGAGCGGTACGTTGGGGGCTCACTGAGGGGTTTGGGCAAGCGTGCTGTCCGGTCATGTTTCTCCTTTTGCTTATAATAAACATAAAGGGGGCAAAAATTATATTGAAGGGAATGTGACCCCCCCAACTATGAACTTTTGGTCTTTTAAAATAACCAATGAATGCGTTTTGTTTTATCGGTTCCAGAAGTGACCCGTTGATCCTGCTAGAAATCTAGTGAGCTCTTAACTTCCTGTGCTCTCTGCCCGTGCTGTAGTCTTTATCAGTTACATTGTTGCCAGAGGACTACAGAACACTACTTTCTATAATTGAGGGGGGGGGTGTTCTGTAGTCTTGACCTAGGGTGACAACGCTGCTCCTCCATTGATACAGTACAAGAAGTGAGCGTTGTCACTAGGGATGCACCGATGCCGTTTTTTCGGTATCGAGTACCGTCATTTATATTCCGGTACTCGCCGTTACTGAGTACCGATACCGGCACTTCCGGTAGCATAGAGCCGGATTCCCGGGCAAACAGGAAGCCAGGCGGCGTGTCATTACCAGCTGCCCAGCTTCTTGATTGCCCAGAAAGCCGGCTCCATGCTGATTGGCCGGGAAACCAGCATTCCAGCCAATCAGCATTGAGCTGGCTTCCCGGCCAATCAGGAAGCCGTGAGGTGGGTCATTACCCATGGCCCGGCTTCCTTATTGACCGGGAAGCCAGCTCAATGCTGATTGGCTGGGAAGTTGGCTTCCTGGCCAAACAGCATGGAGCCGGCTTTCTGGGCAATCAAGAAGCTGGGCAGCTGGTAATGACACGCCGCCTGGCTTCTTTGGTATCAGACCACTTTAAGGGGTGCAGGGGGGAGGGGGCATTATCAGGACATTGACACAGATGTATTTAAAACTGAACTCCGGGATTTCTAAACTAAAATGCCCGGCATTGAGGACAATGACCCAGAGCGTCGCAGAGAAGAGGAGAGCGCCGGAGCGGGGGATAAGGTAAGTATAGCATCTTATGCAACAACCCCCCAAGACCAGGGGTGGGCAGCTCCGGCCCTCCAGCCGTGCTTTTAACTCCAAACCCCTGGGAGTCACGCCTGTGGCTGTCTAAGTCTTGCAATGCCTCATGGGACTTGTAGTTCCACAACAGCTGGAGGGCCGGTGTTGCCCACCCCTTTCCTAAACCTGACCAGCATTGAACCCTTGCAGTCCAGTTCCAGTGAGGTAGCTCTGATTTAGAACTCATTGATATGAATGTTTGACGCGTTCCATGGCCGACGTCTTTCGTTTCTTCGCTCTCACCCGCCTGCCTCTTCCCTTTACAGATTACCTCTCAGACCTGCGAGGACGCAGCGACGGCGACCCACGTGCATCATGGGACTTCTACAGTAGCTCCGTACTAGGTAGGACTGGCGTTCACGTCACTGTTTTTATCTCGGGGAAATAAAATGCATATTTAAATGAAATATATCAAATCCGCACATTGGTGTCATTTCCTCCTATTATGTTACAAGTCTCTCTGATCCCCGGCCGCTACTCTGACCGCGCCGCTCCTTTAAATGCCTCGAATGGCAGAAGAACGGACGTGTCTTTCCTGCAGAATGCGGCACCCTGGTGCCAGTCACATGACCAAATGTTTACGCTTCGGTCAGGTGACCTCACGCAGGGCTCATTGATTGGTCAGCACCCTAGGAATGTCTTCTCAGCACAGATGAAATGACTGAGGCTCCAGAATTCCCGTCTGCCGACTTAATTTATGCTCTCCGGGGTAGACGCAGAGCAGGATCGGCACGGCAGGAGGGAGGAATGGGCATGGCAGTAGGAGGAGGGGGGATGGGTTCGGCAGTTGGGGAGGGGGATAGACATGGCAACGGTGGAGAAGGGGTGTTACTTAAAAACAGGTCTGAGGAGCAATAAATGTATTAGGACATAAATAAGGGGGTGTCATTCTGATCCTCTGGCTTCCAGACGCAAAAATAAAAGATCAAACTTCAGCTTTAAGACTTCCCTGTCATGCCCCGGGTGTCTTCCGAGGATGCCGTGAGCGGCACTGTGTGCAGTGGGGTTGGTTTGCACACACAGGATGCAGTCATAGCTGTAAAACCAGTT